TTCTGTCATCGCATCACTTTCGTTTTGTAAAAATAGAGCCGTTTGAAGTTCGTTCAAGAAACGACTGGCCGAAATTTGGTCGAATAGGCACTCGTTGAACCATTCGAATCGCGTGGCTTTGCTTCCTGAAAACTATTATACCCAGAATAGCTGCACGTCATCGCTTCCTCTTGCAACATCCGCAATAACCTTCGCGGATATTGTTCACGGTTTGTCGTTAAAGTCCTGCAAAACTATTGTAATAGGATCAAATTTTAATCCTTTGTAGCACAGATGCTTTACAGAAAGAATATGTAATTTTTTTAGCTTGTTATCCTTCCTTTTGAATCTTTACTATGTATCTCACATGTTACTTGTTTTGTATCGATTATAAAGGTAACTATGATGATAGCAAAAGTTGATGCTATTCTCTGTCTTGCTAATATAAATATATTGCGATATTATTTATCTAATTAAAATAATTTTACACGAGTTACACATTGTATTTGATTCTTTTATCAAATAAATTTTATTTTATAAAAAATAAAAAGCAGTGTAAAGAGATTAATAAAATAAATTAAAAAAGAAAAATATGTGAAAAATGTAGAAGGAAAAGAATATTAAAAGGTTTAAAAAATTATAAGTATTTGATTTTTTTTATTAAATTACATTTTATGATACTTATTATAATTTATTTAATTTTGGTAATTTTATTCTGCTGCAAATTAACTGTAACTAATTTTCACCTTTTTTTCTATACCTTTATATATTTTTTCCATGTCATAGAGAATTTGTTTGAGAAATGTTTCCTGTAAAAATTCTCCCACGCAACGACTCTACGATGCGTAAATTCAGTATGGATGCTGTGTTCCAGCACAGCTGGCGTTTGCGAGCGAGTGTTATTCGCTCGCGCGTAATTCTCAGTCGTTTCTTGAGTAAACTTCAAACAACGACGCAGGCGGGGATATGGAAATAACGTCAGAGAGAGGGAGCTGTCGACTGAATAAAAGATTTTTCAAATGATCGATATTTCGGCGCAGCGCGGTAAAACGCGTAAGGTACACATTAAGTAATTGAGTTTAGGAAAAAACTCTTTGGAAAATTCGTCCATGACTCCAACAAAATTATTCTTCTTCCTCCCCCTGTTTCCCCTTCCTTCCCTTCGTAATGTCACTTTAGTAACGTTAATAGACTCAGCAGGCGCGCATAATTTTTGCAGGGTACTCGAACTCGAGTACTTCATTTCCATAAACATTCGATAAACGTTTGATTTTTACCGCACTGCATTTAAATCCATCTCGTTAACTTGTTCAACTTTAATCGAGGAAAACAAATTAGCGACTCAGTATGAAAATGACAGTTCAAATAATAAAAATTGGAAAAAAATCAAAATTTTAATTTTTTAATTTAATACAGAACACACACACACACACACACATCAAATTTAAAAAATTATTTTAATAAAGAAAGCAATTTTTCCGATCCTTCTTTTTTCTCGCATTTTAATTTGCGGACTTTATAATCAATCGAAAAAAATAAACTACAACATGATAAATGACGGCTAACATAAATGCGCAAAAATAATTGTTTAAATAGAGACGTTAATATACACATTTTAAAAAATATTGCAGTAATAATATTCTTAATGATTAGATTATTAAATAAATTTATTTATACAGTAGAATTTTACATATAATTTCGAGAAAATCTATAATTTGTTGCAATTATTTAATAATCTATGTCTTGGTATTTACACCATTACAAAAGATTGTCTCAAGACATTAATATTAATTTTAATGATTGATTTTATGATAAAAAGTTTCCTTTTTTCTTATAGAAAATTTCAGAGAAATCAGTATATAATTTTGTCTCATCAAATCATATCTAATATTAACATATTATAATATCTAATATTAATATTAATATTTTTCTGATTAAATCTGAATATAAATTCTAGAAACAAAAATTTCTTAAAACAATTTTAGAAAAAACCAAAATTTTAGATATAATCTCTATTGATTTGCATTTATTCGCGTTAGAATTAATTTCTTTACTTTCTATGCATTTAGTTCTCATGAAAATGCAACGAGCATAGCTGTGCCGGCCAATGTTTACTAAAGTTGCTAAATTAAATTAAACAGAGTTTATTAAATTCAAATTTGCATAATAGTACAGGATATAAGAAAAAGGTAGCATAAAGAAAACGTGAATTTCTATATAAATTTGTATACAAATACATGATTTTTTTCGTTATACAGAATTTTAATATATTTCTTTAATGTATCGAATTTCCTATATCAGCTATATCCTTATGTTTCGAATATACGTTTTTTATTTGAGAATTTTTCTCCCTGTTTTATTTTGGGAATATATTCATATGGCTATTGATAGATTTTATTAAATTTTAATTACTGTTGCTTGGCGTAATTAACTCGTCTATCGATCATCCTTTTTTTATACCAAAGCAGTAATTAATTAATTAATTGGATTTTAACTGAATAGATATTAATCTTGAACTAAAAGAGAAATTCAGAGAGAAATATTAATTGTACTTTGCTTAAATAAAAAATAAAAACATGTCTAACCATTCAATACATATGTCTAATTATTAGAGCAATTTAACTTTATATGTATGTGTATGTGTGTTTTATATTAATACCTTATTTTATATATATATATATATATATATATACCTATATAATTTTTCCAAATTAGAATTACATATATTTCATTAATAAGTAATGCAATTAAAAGAAACTAAAATATGCATTGCAATATCTATGGTATATTGCAATTTCTTTTATAATATATGTAATAGATAGAGAATGATAGATACGTCTTTATCATTATAGGCTCCAAAAAGATATATTATTAACCTTTAAAACAATTTGGATTATATTTTTAGCTCAACTCGATTTTTACATTTTTAGCTCATCTCGTTGTATACACATCATAATGTTATTCATTAAACATAACGGCGTTAACATTTTTAATGGGTGCAACGATGATCTATTACATAAATATGGAAACGAAACCAGAAGTGAACCGGTTTGTTGATGAAAATTGGCTCCGGTTTATACGGCGAAATTAAATAAATATCGAGTAAATAAACAAAAATTACGTCATCACTCGATGAATAGAATGTCGTGACTCTGCGCCAATTTTCCATCAAAATCAATCGAATTTACGGCTCTTGCATTATCAAGGAGATCAAAATTACGCTCCGTAAATTATAGAGAAAAGAATTATTCATTAAATTATATGCTATGCGAAAAATGAAAATCCATATGTGGCACACACAAGTGTACGAATACAATGAATTCTCAGGAATAATATTATACCGCGTTCATTTATAGTTTATTTTTTGTCTCCCGTAAAACGAGTTAAATAACAAATAATCGATCATCTATTAAAGAATTATATTACAGGCACAATAATAAATTACAATTTGAACGCGAACAAATGCTGTTTTCGATTACAAATTAATAATAAAAACAAACTGCAACAGCAATAAATTTTTGCCCGTGTTATATTTCCTGAAATTCATCTCTCACGGTGATTAATTAATTATTCGAAGAAGGTAATTACCGCGTGACTCGAACACGCGCTTTTTCCACCGTGTCCACCGGGTACCATCAGTTATTCGCGAAACCAAAGTCAGCGTGGTATTTCCGACTTGCTTGACCCATCGGGAAAACAGTGGTACAACTGACCGCGTCCGCGTAATTTAATTTCTCCTTAAATCGAAACATCCATCTTGGAGGTGATATATATATCTTTGCTTGGTATAAATGGCGACCAAGATGCTTTCTCGAATGGACAGTTATATTTGAAAAAAGAAATGATAGATCGATAGAAAAAGTGATAGAAAAGAGCAACTTATTTATCTCAAATCTCAAAACACACAATTGCGTAAAGATTATTGTATAAATCGCAGAATATTATCAAATAATGATAGTAAATATTAGAAATGCAAGAAAATTAAAATATTTTTAAAAAATCATATAATTACAATAGATTTCAAATTAGTGATGATTTCAGTATATGATTTTTCTATTTTTATTTTTGTTCAATCGAGAAATCGGCTATCGAAATTAATATTATCAATATCTTAATATATATTATATATGTATATGTATTATATATTAAATTAAAATCTCATTTTTTTAAATGTCTAGCAGTAAACACTTTTAAATGTGGATCTTGCTTTTAATTATGAACTGATTAATAAGAGCAGTTTAACCTGAAAACTTTATACCGCGGACCGCGTTTGTTTTCTGTATCTAATGTTTATCTTTCACGGTCTCCCGCACACAGTGACTGGTGATTCTGGTGATGATTAAAGCTGGTAACGATGATGGGACCCGTTCTCTCAACCGCATTTACGTTAAATTCCTCTTGTTTACCAAGAGACATGAATATGAAAGAGCTTTTCTAGGATAATTATACGTAATTTCCACGCTGCTCTTATTAAAATCGTTACGGTCTTACTCTCGCTTTTTATTTTTGATTCGTCGAAGATGGATAACCAGCATACTTTTGAAGAAGAAGCTCTGCGCAGCATTATCATATTAATATCATTAGTGATAATATCCATGCAAATCGTTTGATGTTAAGTCATCATTTCGTCGCAAATATTCTTAACGCTATATTGTGGTTTGTTTCTCTCTGTTTGTAATTCTCCAAATCAAAAGATATGTAACGCTGAGAAAATTTAAATTTGATAATAATATAATTAAAAAAATAACAATAAAAGGACTAACTAAAAAATATAGAAATGGTAATTAAAATTTGTCAATTGAAAATAAACGCTTGTTTCGAAATAAAAATTATTTTTACGTTATATATTTCGGTTTCTTCCAATTAAATGAATAAAAATCTAGTTTGCTAAATTCCATTGTCGAGATGTCGACAGGGAGACAACATTCCATGATATATATTATAATGTACACATATTCTCTCGTGTGTACGAGACGATTAGGGCGATTTCGTGATTAACTGCGCGTCTCGCATGAATATAGACGCGCCGGAGACGAGATTAGTCGGCGTCCCAACCGGCCAGCTCGAGGAAGGCCGCGATAAGCTGGAAATTCGATGTCTCGCTGACGCTAATCCGCCGGCTTCGATACTCTGGAGGAAAACGAAGAGTCCCGGCGTGACCGAGGTGGCCAGTATCGGGGAGACCCTGATGTTCTCCCCAATTTACAGAAATCACGCCGCCGTTTACCTCTGCGAGGCGTCGAACACCGAAGGAGAGAGCAGTCCGGTTATGGTCCAAGTGTCCGTAAACTGTACGTCGTTATCTCGACACTTTCATTCATCATCTTTACTCGATTTGCATTTCAAAGTTTTTTTCTACGCAATTATATAATATTGGATTATTTTTTCTCATTCTGATTATTTTATGAGAAATTATTCTCTTTAGATTATTGCGTATCAATAATTCTCCAAAGACACAGAATTAGAGTCTATATAGAAACTGTCATATAAAAAAATTATCTTTTTGTTTACAACTTTATATCTCAATCTCAGAACGTGCTGGGTTTTTCATAGATCCACCAATGATCAGTGCAGTCGGGCCAGATCGACTGACAACTGCATTGTTGTACTCTGGTGCATCATTCGAATGCCATGCTGATGCGATGCCGCCGGCTGAGTACAGGTGATTTTAATTAATTATTTAATTTTGTTTTTTTAGGTTCTACACATTTATACGTGCACACATCGATAATGTAATTCAATCATTTAATTGCACTGTTATTTATTTATATAAAGGATATTATTTGAAATAATATATTGCTATTGCCACATCGCGAATTATAAATATATATTTATTTACATATATTAAATATATATATATATATATATATATTTATGTATATATATTAAATATATATTTATTTTATATTATGTAGGAGTATGATATAATATTTTTAATTACTAGCGATTTTAATTCTACCTTTTTTCAGTAGAGACATTTAATTTCAGCTTGGACGTTTTTTACATTTTCCTGTAAAGACTATTAATTTTGTTTCTACATTTTTTAAATGTCTTTTTGTCGTCATATATTTTTACCGTGGCAAATTCCGAGATCTGAAAGTGCTCTCTTTAATCTACAAATTTCTTCATGCGATCGCGCGTATACAGATGGGCACAAGTATTCACGGACGGCCGGATGCCGTTGGAATGCGGAACGGGGCATCGATTGATCCTGACGAACGTGACGTACGAGCAACAGGGTCAATATATATGTCTCGCCTCCAACAAGATCAATGGCAACGTTAGGGAAGTTAAAAGCGACCCTGTGTCTCTGCAAGTGGTCGGCGCTCCACGGGTAAGATGACGCCGTGCCGAGACGTGTGGCAGAAACGTCTTTGAAAAAGTTTCGCCGCAAATCAGCATTACCGGGCGCGAAGCCGACGTTAACGAATAACCAGTTTCCGGTGGATCTGTCCGCGAAAAAATATCGCTTCATTACTTTCCGGAATCCCGAATCATCGAATATCTCTCGCGCGTGCGCGCTCCGTAAAACGGGATACTCCGCGAACACTTCGAACGCTTTCTGACGTTCAACTCTGAACATTTGCCGAGCAATATCGGCGAAGAGAATTAATGTAGGATGTATAATTTGCATAACGAGACAGAAGCGTTGCTCTCGCGTATTAATTTCGCTTTATTATCTCTTGTAGAGAAACAATATATCGAGATAAACTTATATTGTACTAGCGGCACTTCTCGCTAAGAAAAAAAGGATTATGAAATTCGATCGATTGTTTAAAAAAATAATCTTTTAAAAAAATTTAAATTTATTATTTACTTTTATGTATATATTATAATTTTTTAAATATAATTCAAAGTTAATGTATTCTGCAATATTGTTTATTGCAGCAAAGTAAATTGTGTGCACTTTTTATCGGCTTTTAATAATTACAATGTTTTAATGTACGAAAATTTTTTGCAAAATATTGCAAAAAGTTTGTATGTATAATATTTATCAGTATATGTATGTCAAGCGTATAAATACATACATTGTGACTTCAAATATATTTTTTATGGCGATATATGCTTTGAATTTTTTCTGCCGTCAACAATAAGCCGCTATCAAGTTTTATTGTGCATTGTGCACGATATTAAAAATCGATACTTTTATTAATTGTAACGAACACCATATTGTTTCTCTCGAAAGAATGCTCGATGTTATGTAGACGCCAACTTTTGTTCTGCTCGAATGCAGAAAAATATTTCTATAATAATAATTAATTGGAAAGATTCATTTCAATGCTTTTACGTATAACAATATATATCATAAAAATAAGTGCGTAATTGTTGCAACGAATTTTTAAATAAGTTTTCACTGTGTTTAATTTATTTAAAACAGATTCGCTATTGTTTGGTTTTTCACCCATGTTTGATTCAACCTAGCGAATAAAATATCTAAATGCTATAACAGTAACATACATATGGTACGAAGATTAAGTTATTATTGCAATTATTATTATATTATAGTATTTCGCACGCAATTCGATTCTGTTCATTGGCCAATAGCTAATTGCTCGATTAATAACGCCGATAATGGAAGTGAAAAAATCGTGATATATCGCGATACATATACTATATTTTTTTCTCTTTATTGAATTTACCCAGCAGATCGCACGCGACTTAACGCGGGTCACTGGCTACGCAAAGGTTTGATTTCCGTTTCATTTAATACGAAGCCGTTTCATCTGTTCAGCAATGCTATTAATGTCGATATCTCGTTCAAATTGATTTTGACGTTGCACATACATGGCGATTATATATTACAAATTCACCTCGTGAGTCGAATATCGCGTATTGAAAGAAACAATCGAAATTTTTATACAATTTAGTTTACAGACAGAGCATTTGGAAATCAACCTGAAATGTCGATACGCGCGCGAACATAATCAAATCAACGTTTTAATTATGTATGCAAATGTGACACAGTTTCGTTGTTATAAATATTGCAAAAATAATATATATATGTATATATATATATATATATATATATATATATAAAATTATTATTATATTTACGCGAGTATATTTCAATGCGCGATTGATGAAACAGAGAATTTTAAAACGCGATGCAACAGAAATAAATACGAATTATTTCGGTGAATTATCCATAGTGTAAAGAAATGTAATGTGTCCGTATTGTAATATTTTTATTTCGCGTTATAAATACGGCACAATATTGCATTGAATTAAGTTATAATGCGCGCATCATAAATCACAGATTGCTTTTCGCGATCGAGAATTGTATTCGCGCAGTGCAATTCTCTGTCTGTGAATAAAATATCATTTCGCTTTCATATCGAATGCTTAGTCATTCGAACCTAAATTAAGTCACAATTTTCAGCGTGTCGCTACTATTTTTCCCGATAATGTGTCTTTCATGAAAAAGGTCGCGATATATATTGGTGAGATAAAAAGGACCGCGATTATATCCAACGTTTCAATTTTCATCATAAACCTTTCCGCATGATTGGTGAATCATCGCTATGTATTTCTATCGATGTATCAATCCGTTTATACAAGCTATCTTATATTTTCACTTGAATTTTGTGCGTGATAATAAATCCTTATTTGTCACTTATCAATATATTCAATTCATATTCTATAGAGCTTTGATATATAAAATACGCGAAAGCTAGGATAACGTTTTATTCGCGTGATAATAAATTCTGATTTGTCTCTTATTAATATATTCAATTCATATTCTGTTAAAGCTTTGATATAATACGCGAAAGCTAGGATAGTACTTTACTCGCACACGTAAGATTATTTAGACGGGAGACGATTCGACGGGAAGCGTTCACGTTCGTCGTTTGATGACTGAGAAGGGATGGAAAGGAAAAGGGAGGAAGGGTAACAACTTTCCATTCAAAGGATGTTAAACATGTGTCGCAGGTGGTGAAACCGGCCATCACAGAGAAGTTCGTCGTCGTAACGACGGAGGGTAGCCCAGCCAGATTAGAGATCAGACTGTGCTCCGACCCGAAGCCGAAGTTCGTAGCCTGGGAATGGGGCAGCACCAGACTGCACGCCGGTTAGAGACTGTTTGCCTTAAACTATCGTCGCAAGTATTCGATTTTAGTCTTTGGTTTGATCTTTTGTCTCCTTTGCGTATTTCCTTCAAGGGAATTCCGCATCGCGAGATACGTAAGTAATCGGAAAGGAGCAAATAATAGAGAGTCGTGAATTTCTTTCTCTACTTTAAAGTTCATGCGATACGAGAGTACGTATAGTATTTAATTTAGACAATTCGAGCAATTTCAAGTATCGTATTTTATTTCACTGTTGCCTTAACATTATCGATTTCCATCATTTTTATTATTATTTTTTTTTTTTTATAAGGCGATATATGAAAGATATTGTGATTATAAATCGCTATATCGAATTCGCGTTAAAAATAATATTGTAAAGGATTAATCTAGCTTTTATAAAGTTAAGAAATAATACCATTTGCAAAAGTTATTGCAAAGCGATAGACAGGGTATACGTTTGCATCAGTTTGTTCGAGTAAAAAAAAAACATTCGAAATGGGCCAAGGGATTAATAGGTCAATCAGCGGAAACTTCCGATTAGAGTTGAAGGGAACATTGATCTCTTGGCTGTTTTGTTTCACCATTCTACAATAGCGTTCTAGATTGCTCACCACGCGAACCAGCCGCAAAGGATAGCCGTATCCGCGCTCTTTATCTTTGTAAACGTGTCGGTAAACACACAGGCCGCACACGGGAAACGTATGTACGAGAAAGAGATACACCACTTTCGAAGCACGTTGTTGGCGTGTAAAATTATTACGACCGCGACGACGAGCTGACTCGATTTTACTTTGTTTCGCTTTGACTTTCATCCCTCGGCCATCACGCAATTTTACTCCGCAATTCTTCCTTCGTTATGCGCTTCCGCGAAACGAAACCTCCATCACCTCGTCTAACGAACCATTAACGTGTAAACTTTGCTTTAGTTTCTGTTTCGAGTAGTACGAACGACCGTGTGTATTAATTATTAACCTTTTCCTCTCTTTCTTTTACATTTTTGCGAAACTATAACGCCCGTTAAACTTTCCCCCGAACCTTCAACCGAACCGGGGAAAAAAGCACTCGAGCTTTTCTCCGAGATTGCCCCTTCGTATAGGCTTTTTTTTTCTTATGGTTCTCGGTATAATTGGCACTTCACCATAGGAACCTTCGACGATCCCGCCGTCGCACAGTCGCAATTACTCCTTGGTTAATTGATCATTCGACCGTAACACGAGCTACGAGATCGTTTCGGTCTTGAGACATCCGTTCAATTTCCGCAGAACCCAAATCGATGCACTCTACTATATATTCGCACCGTGAATTTTTCTCATAGTTACCCCGAGATATATCGGACGATTAATTAATCTCTGTTGACACCGGTTCTTCGCGCTCGCATAATTGCTTACGTCATCGTGTATAATATTTATAAGAGTCTTTATATCCCGGCCAGGTATACGCTTGGAATTTTTTCCGTGTTTTATTAATATTACTTATTTTTTAATTTTGAACGCGATCGTTTTTTTTTTAACGACGACGTTTCGTTAATTTGATTTTTATTGAATATTTAATTTTCTTTTTATTTTACGCGTATTAATTAAGTCTATTATTTTGCGAAATTTTATTTCAGTTGTTCGTAGAAACGGAAGAATACAAATTGTCGAGAGATGCATGGATTCGTTCTATTATCGACAGGTGAAGTTCTGGAACCGCGTTATCGTGCGCTCGATCTGGAGCCGCTGGCTTCGGAGGATTGTTACGTAGCGATCTTAGAGTTGACAAGTACGGTAAAAGAGGATCAAAGGCTGTATCACGTTATCGTGGAGAACGATCGTGGCAGTGACAGACGAGCGCTGATGTTGAAAGTCGATGAGCCCGGCCAGGTAAACGTTACTTACACATATATACGTACGTAAACACAGTCGTAATATTTTGACAAATAACATCTCTTTTTAAAAGACGTATTTTCCAACATCGTCTAATAAGAAAACAAACTCCTTTCGTATAGAAATAAATTAGAAAATGTATATTTAAATTGATAAAATTGTAGATATTTTCACGAAGTAAGATAATAAAAAAATCTTGCAAATTTATATATCGTTTTATTATTATATAATTGACATATGTACAGAGTGTCTGATATAAAATATCACACTGAAAATATACAAATAGATCTCGTTATTTGAAGACGATTTTTCCTCAGCAAAAATGTCGAAGGAGGCCATTATTTTTTGCATATTTCCAATTTTTGCCATCATGCATTTCTTTATAACTAAACCTTAAATTACAATTGTATTAAAGTAAACTCTACTTGAAATTAATTGGAGAATGTTGGAGGTTTTGTTAATATTTTATTTCCACAAAATTTACAATTAGTTTGCGAAAAAGCCTTTATTTTCAATCGCTTATAACTCGAAAATTATTTATGCCTCAATATTTTTGCTGAGAAAAAATTGTCTCCAAATAACAAGATCTACCTGTATATTTTCGGTGTGACACCTTATGTCATATACCCTGTATGACAGCACAGACAAATTAAAAAAATATATTTTTAACTTTGATAAATCACGTGCTGTATTTTACGAACGCGTCCGCGTGAAAATGCATCTCCGGAAATGCATATAGAATATTCTTCTCTACAGATCCCGCTCGTTATCGGCGCGGTGGCCGGATTCACAGTGCTCTCGGTGCTGATAATGGGATTCGTTTGTTTCCTACGTTCGGATAGATGCTGCGTAGCCAGAAACACAGTACCGGCACTGCAGCAAGTGCATTGGTAAGCACGCGATATTGCGCTGCGCGGTGATTTATAGACGAGTATGCGCCACCGTGGATCACGCGCGATGCTCCAATATTGTGTACACTTGGACAGAACTGCGCCATAGAGTATATCTATACGAATTTGCATATGCAGTGGTACGAGATTTTTATTGCAAAGATATATGTATGTATTTTAAACAGACTGGGAAATTTGTCTGAATCTTTCGTATCTTTTGTGTTCCACAAAAAAAAAAGAAAGAAATAGTTTAAGAACAAAAAAGGACTTATAGAAGTATTTTTTTTTCTCGTCTACTTTTTTATAGATCTTGATGATTTAAATTTCATTTCAAGCTTCAAATAAGTTCTAGAGAACTTCTTTAAAGGAATTATCTGAGAAGCATTTTCTCGCGTATATATATATCGTGCGGGGGCGTATACAACAAAGCATCTCTAATGAAACGAAACCAGAATAACATATTCGCCGTTTCTACAGTACAAAGGCTTCCAACGCTATGATAGAGGATCCACGTTTGGCAGTAGATACGATGGAACGCACGAGTCAGCAGTTCGTTCCGGAGAAGCGAGCCAATCATGTTCTGAAACCCGTCCCATCGCAGCAATACCAGCAGGAATGCTATCAACACGACCAACATCAACAACAACATTATCAGAGGCATCATCACCATGGGCAGCCTCACGGACAATACACATTGCAGGTCAGATAAGTTGCTAATAAGACAGAGAGAAAAAAAGAACGAATTACTCTTGCATCATTGAAATCCGATATACTTCGCGTTATTTTTTACCCTTTTTTCTTTCTTTCTCTCTTTCTATTTTTTCCCTTTCCCTTTTTATTTAATTATTTGTCACACTGTTGCCCCCGAATTGCACATAAAGTTTGCAGCAACCGACACGATTCCTTTGAACGCGAAATTAGTTACTAGTTGTTGCGATTGTAGAGTTTTGCACGGCAAGCGTTTTTTGAATTTTTAATGCAATATTAAATATATATTACATTTATTTTATTTATTATTTTATTGTTTTACAATTACATTAGAAAACACATAATTACAGTAAAGCAAGATTATTGCGTATGAAAATTTTGCTAAATATAAACAGAATGACAACTTTTTTTCATCAAAATTTTACAATGAATGTATGTCAAATAATTCTAACAATAAGTAGCAAAAAATGCATTTCATTCATTTCTCTATGTAAGATATAGCATTTAAATTTATGTACATTTATTTATATTTGTCATCCCTTTTTTATGCAAAACTCTACTCGTTCTTATAATGAACAATGTATATTAACCCTATCACAGAGTTCGTTTCTCTCTCAATTTTGCCGTGTCACCGACCAACACGTCACTAGTTATTATTAGTTATTTCGCTTTCAACAATATTTTTTTCAACTGCTTGCTCACTTTGCACTCGCTCAAAAATAGCCACCTGACCAAAGCACGCGTTTAAATTTAAGCGATGCATTCGCGAAAGCAAAACTGCAAGTGCATGCAACTTGACCTGAATGCGAAACGAACCGTTCGGATTAAGCGCGGCGATTTACCTAACGTAGTCAACGGATCGATTCTATTTTGTCGATTAAATTATCGGATTGTTTGTCGGTGACTATATATATCGTATTAATTTTTCAACCATTTGCTTTCGGGGGCTCGTCAAGTAAAATGAGGGAAAAAAAAAGATCAGATTAACGATTTATTTAAACGTTGACGCGCCCCGCACGTTCGTATATATCCATTAATTGAATCAATGAGCGAGCAATCTTGGCGCAGGAAAAATTCCTTCTACAGGACGAGGAACGGGACACGCTAAATCGGATTAAAAAAGGCAAGGAACGAGGAGCGCAAACTTTCCACCTTTTCTCCCGGAAAGATCTTGAAGGTTTTATATATAAATAAAAGGGATTGTGTATTTGTTTTCTCTCCCGATCTACACGACCAACGTGGAAATGTAAAAAATATATAAACACACGTTATATACGCTTTAATGTGTATAACCAGACGCATTCTACATCGATAGATCGTCCGAAAATTTGTTGGTACTTTTTCGCCGATGAAATGACGCGCGTAAAAAAAAAATCATCCTCGCTCGCGATTTTACGCGCGTAAAAAATTTATTACGATGTTATTATACGATCGTTTATTATATATAATACGTATAAACTATGCGATGACATTGGGACGACGCTGTAACCATTAGAGAAGTGTTTTTAGATCCAACGTTAAATTAAAATACTTATGCAGCGACACGCGCTGTTCACAAGTATCGAACGTATCACGTTCTCCGATCGCGATAGTCGCTTGAGTGATTTATGCGCTCGGTAGGGTGCATTACGCATGCATTTGGTTGCATCTAGTTCCTGGGTGTCCCTCAACCAATTACCGCTGTGTCCTTGTTTGTAATTTAATTTAGATAGATGTACATAAGTAGACCGTGCCGACGATATAATGCCGCCACCATCCTATCCTATGTCGATTGAACGCGCGGTTTTCCCGTTTTACAGAGAGCGTACCGTATATCTTATTTTTGTAAAAAAAAAAAAAAATCACCGAATTAACCGAATCGAACGGAATTCGTTCTGCTTGAGATTGAAGTGCTTAATCTTGAACAGAGAATTCCTATCGATTCGGCCGAGTTGGCTCATTTCTCGCGCGGATAGCTCATCTCGTGTTGTTTTGATTTCGCTTCCATCCAGAAAGGAGCGTATTCTCTGCAGCCGCGCGTCCTGCGGGATTCAAGAACGTAAGACTGAACTCGGCCGAGATCGCCGAATTACGCTTTAAGTAGCAGCGCTTACGACGGCGGACGACCGATCGCGCAACGAGATCATCCAATCGTTTCGAAAACGTACAATAGTTGTAATTAATTATTACGCGAAACTCGTTACTGCCGTATCCAATATACTGCCTCCAAAAAATACTGCCTCTCTTTGAGAAAAGAAAAAAATTGTAGGCGCGATTAGTAAATATCAAATACAATATTGCAAATGCATTTTTCTGATACATTTATCAATTGAATTAATAAAAGTGAGCACAATCTTGGCGCAGAAAAAATTCCTTCCACAGAATGAGAAACACACGGAACATGTTAAATCGGATTTAAAAAAAAAAAATCAAGAAACGAGGAGCGCGGGTAACTTTATTTTTTTTTTTTTATTTTTTTTTGTTGAAAGGACGTTAAAGATTTTATATATGAATAAAATATTGTATTTGTGTGTTTCCGACACACGACCAACATGCAAATATATGTATAGACACATACACACCTATACACATACGTATATACACACGTTATACGCTTTAATGTGTACCAAACGCAATCTCTATTGGATTGTTCAAAGTTTATTGCGCATCGAGAATCAAATCGTTTCGAAAACATATAACAGTTGTAAGAAAATAGTTGTAATTAATTATTATGCAAAACTCATTACTGCCGTAATCAATACTGCCCATTAAAAAAAAAATGAAAAAGTTGTAGACGCGATTAGCAAAATGTCATTACTACAAATGCATTTTTCTTTCCACTTGATTTTGGACCTCGTGTATTTGAAATGCTAATAAACATTGTAAAAGAATCATCGGAGACCATATTGAAGAGTGTTTGTATAATAGATATTAATTAGTCGAAACTGTGCTCATTACGATTTAACGACGATATATCGCTATCTCATTAAATATATTATATAAGCGCATATGTACATACACATATACATACATATATCCGTTTAGATCACTGACGTACAAATCGTCGTCCAATCCAAATGAAAGTTTGATGTTAACAGCGATGTAATCGCCCTTACACACGTAATCGCGATATACACAGTGTGCCTTTACATCGCTGTTACAAAGATTAGTTTAAACAGCCGACAGCCGTGATAGTGATTTGATTCGCATTTGTATAGTAGTCGTATACGCGAATAATTTATCCGTTCGAGAGGGAGAGGGAGAACGAGAGAGAGAGAGAGAGAGAAATACTCTCGAAAAACGGGGAACCAAACTGTACAAATCATTTGAGAGTGTATCGATCAACGAGTGAGCATGTCGGAGTTGCATTTTGTATGTACCCTGCACATCTTACGAGATTATATGTACAGAGAAAACACCCACTGGTTACTTTCATTCCTATCTCAAATACGCGACACACCCATGTTGTTTACCGTTACCTCGATAGTTCTGGTAAGATTAGCTATATTGTATCTCCTGGTTGTTGCCATCATTAATTAAGCCTGAAGCGAATACCGCCGACTTTGTAATCGGATTAAATAATGTGGGACACTTCATTGTATTGTATAAAAAAAGTAGTTTTGAGGAGTTCTCTTTCGTGTATAAAGTTGTCATCATAAAAAGTGATATATATATGCGTATGTGATTATTTATCATCATGTCCATCAAATAAATTTATCAAATATATAAATATATAAATTATATTATCATACAAACCATCGTGCATCAATTTATTGCACCAAAAAGGTGCATAAATTAATTTTATTTTTGTATTTTGTATATAACGTTCTTTTCAACCATCTTATATTATAATATTTTGATATTATATATTGTCTCGTTGCAAGATGAAATACCATATTCCGAAAGTTTTAGTTTTATAATGCTTTTACAAAGTAAATGTCTTTCTCTTTCAATTGATAATTATATTTATTATATGTTACATTAAAGTAACATATGCTTCTCTTCCAAAAATATACTTTTATTTATGTGAAATACTTATATAATTCTTTATATTATGAAAAATTTATGCAACATTATAACTTTTAATTGTATATTAATCAATAAATTGTAATATTAAATTATACTTTTAAAATTATATATTAATATAAATAAGATAAATTAATAAAATGTTAACATGTAAAACATTATTACGAAATAATTGATAATTTAAAAAGAATATTGATAAGAAAGATTGATTTTTCAAGATGAGAAATCGCGTCATAGCCATTATATTTTATCTATTTCATAGTTTAACAGGTTCGATGATTAAAGATCATTAAAAGAAGAGAGAGAAACATGAAAAAAACATTTCGAGATTCGTTAAGAATTTTTAAATGATCACATCGTCAAAATTTTTTGTTTTTTATTCATTTTATTTCCTACGAAATAATAATATATTTGCAAGATTTGTGATTTATTCACTTACTTGTATGTTTATTTATTCTGCTGTTTTATTCCATCCAGTTGCACGAATTATTAAGTATGTACCTGATCGATGAAAGGAGATCTCCAGAATCCGACTCTGCCAGATCGATGACAAAATCCCAGCGCAATGGAGACGATATGCAGGGTAAAATCACAAAAAAATCACAATTTTTCCAAGAACACAGAAATCCTAAAGAAAGAGAAAATTTGTTATAAATAATATTTTATTAAAAATGAATTAAAATATAAATCTAAAGAGATATAAGATCTAAAGAGATATTGAATTAATCAAGGATGAATCTATGCATCTCTTTTCTTTACATTAAGAAAATTATATATTTATTTTCTTCCGAATTGATTGAACAAAACTGACAAAAAATCGATAATGTATACTTTATTGCATATATATATATATATATATATATATATATATATATATATATATATATTATAACAATTCTTTCATTTATCTTATATATTGCAATGATTCCTATAGATTACAAATTATTCTGTTTTCCACTCTATTTTCATAACCATTTTCGTAATATCGACCGTTCGATTGCAGAATTAAATGCAATTATTACGTACCATTTCATCATTAATTTGACGCATTGTCGTTAATATCTTCATGCAATACGATAATCTTATCTTTTGTAGTCTTATCTTATCTAGTCTTTTCACGCAATACAATCTTTATCTCTACATTTGCATAAAGAAATTTCAAATTTAACTTACGTAAAATTGGAGATGCACTGTACCCATCGATAGCTTATCGCGTAATGGCGGATAGTCGCGCGCCACGTCATTCTCGATACTCTCGAATTGTGTATCTCGCGCGAGAATCGATTGTTTCGAGCGCGTACTTCACTCCGCGCCCTCGTGCTCCGCGACAGAAAGTAGCGGCACTTGAAAATTTTCGAGGTTAGCGTGTTACAAATTTACCGAACACAAACCGTTCCCCGAGATTTTAACTCTTGTTGCTCACGCTGATGTAATAACTGTGCGATCGCAATCATGGCAGTTCGTGTACAATTCGAAAATAATAACGAGATTGGCGTTTTCTCAAAATTGACAAACTCTTATTGCTTGGTAGCGATCGGCGGCTCCGAAAACTTTTACAGGTAAGAATGACGTCATCCATAACGCAATTATATGAAATCGTCATTTATATATATATTTTTTAATTTTTATTTTATTTGACAATGCGATGAATAGAAAATGTATTCAAAGAGAATTCGTTAATATTAAAGGTATAAATATTTTGCTACATAACCTTAAAACATATTATACAATAGTACATAATTTACTTATTATTAAGCAGAATAGAATGCAATTATAAGTTAAACTTTATTATAAATGTATTGTAATGTAATATAATATATTGTGTGTATATTACATTGATATAATGTCATACTGTCATTTTTTGATAATCTTGCAGTACCTCGACCACATGTATGTACAGTTGATATAGTTTTTTTCATATTTATTGATAAAACTGATAAAATTGCAGTGTATTTGAAGCAGAATTAGCAGAGACAATTCCTGTTATTCACATATCAGTGGGAGGATGTCGTATCATAGGCCGATTGTGTGTTGGTAAATATATTACAATAGTTTTTATCAACATGTGGAGAATATTAATGCTATTAAAGTATATAGAGAAAGTAATTTTTATTGATACCAGAATATTAATTAGAATGAATATTACATATAACATAGATTAAGATATAAATTAAATGGTGAAGAATTAGAAATCTATAAAAATTTCAATTTTTAAAAAATTTCCTGTATAGCTCTTGAAACACTATGGCCTTACAAAATTAAAAGTTTTTTCTTGCATTGTGAAAAAGTCAATGCTAAAAGATAAAAGAAATATAATATTTTTTGAAAATGTAAAGTTTTCTTACATATATGTATATATATATACTTATTATCTATTTACATATATATATATATATTACTTATAAATACTTGTTACAATAGGAAATAAAAATGGATTATTAGTGCCAAATACAACAACAGATACAGAATTACAACATATTCGAAATTCGTTACCGGATAATGTAAAAGTACAAAGAGTAGAAGAGAGGCTATCTGCTCTCGGCAATGTTATAGCATGCAATGATTACGTTGCCCTAGTTCATCCAGATCTGGATAAGGCAAATCTTTGATATACTTTTTATCATAATTAGAAATTTTTTATATGTTATGTTATAAGCATAATTTTGCAATTTATACTGTATAGGAAACTGAAGAGATTTTAGCTGATACCTTGAATGTAGAAGTATTTAGGCAAACTGTCGCAAGCAATGTTCTTGTTGGATCATACTCCATTTTATCCAATCAAGGTGGTTTGGTTCATCCAAATGTGTCTATACAGGAACAAGATGAATTATCATCTCTTCTACAAGTACCACTCGCGGTAAGACAAACAAAAAAATTGTGATTTTCTTTGTTTTCAGTTAATAATTATATTTTAGACTGGAACAGTAAATAGAGGAAGTAATGTAATCGCAGCTGGTATGGTTGTAAATGATTGGGCTGCTTTCTGTGGTATGGATACCACTTCAACAGAAATCGCTCGTATAGAGAGCGTTTTTAAACTTAATGAAGCTAATCCAACTCCAATTACAACAAGTATGCGTGCACCTTTTATAGAAAGGTAAGAAATTCTCTAAAACTAGATATCAATAATATACAATTATAAAAGTATTTTTTCTCAAAATTTTTATCATTTTAGTATGTCGGACTTTTAAAAAAAAATAAGAATGTCAATAAAAATATGCATTGGGACATGATACTGGATTATACATTGTGTACATGTACATAAAGCTCGATATTTATGGCTTACACGTTTGCACAAAATTATCCTTTCGTCAACATATCCAAGACGAGCACTTTTCCGCGATTCTGACATAGAAAGATAAGTGTAATAAAATGTTCTCTATATTAAAATTTATATATACGAAATATAGCGGTTTTTTTTGTTACATTATTACCAAGACATTTTGTTACGAACTTGCACTGTTCATTACTAGTCATTATTGTCTATATGTACATTTTTATTAAAAGAAAAAGAGTAAAAAAAAAGAGTAAAACGCGAGCACAGAAAAATCAAATTACTTATATCGTTTTTTTCTAGAAATAATATATATAATCTAAACACTACCAATGTAAACCTGCTTGCAACTACATGAAGTATCATACATAAAAAATTCATCCCTGTAGCTATATATATATATATATATATATATATATATATATATATATATATATATATATATATATATGTATTATATTATATATATAATATATATAATATTAATTAATATAACTGCATATAAACAGAAATATTATATTGAAATATATTTTAATCGATAATATTCTCTTTGAATACAAACGCGTTCTGTGTCAAAAATGTAAATTATTTCTATCCTGTTGGTTTTTACATAGTACATAAACGATCTATTAATAAGGGCATTGTATTAGCCTGCTAATAAAATGTATTATAAATCAAGTGGGCCAGTCCGTTTTATTAATTTTGATCAATAGGACTAGAGTAATGGTAGTTGTTCTGCATGTAATAACTCGGTGGCTGCGGCGGAATCTGCACACATGACCAACGTAATGCCTGCTTGATAAGACGCCGGAATGCGAATGTGAGTCATTCCGGTAGTCGTGTTATTAGGTTGTTGTCTTCGACTCATCGATTCACGCACCATATTTACAACTTGCCCTGTTGCCAAAAATGTCATTAAAATTATTGCGATTATGAATATAGAAGCAGTATATATAAAAAAATGCATATAACATACCAAGCACATTAAGTTTTCGCCATTTCTGATCCATTGTCGCAAGTGACGTTAGATCTGTATTTGCGTTCCAATGTGCTAGAACATCTGTTTTTCGTATTAACAGAATACTAGGGCTAACTAATTGATGCCACACGAGCTAAAATCATGTTAAAAAAATAAGATTCTGATCGAATCAATACCGCGGCTAAACAATAACTTAAACGTGCAATAAATATTTATTTGTATTAATCAGTCGAGTAAACGAACCTGTTCAGGTAAACATTCAAGAGGATTTGTTAAATATATGCCAGCTGGTCCTACACCAAAAATCATTTGATGATGCCATGCATCTGGTATGTCGCAACCTTCTCCACAATGTTGTAAATTCAACGTTGCAATTGGTGCAGCACCTGAAAATGTGGAAACAAAATATTTGTATCTTGAGGTTTTTTTGATACTACTAAAATTGAATTCTTTATTTCTTTAAAAGTAATATATTTAATCTGTTTTCCTTTTTAATATTTCTAATGTCTTACCCCTGGAAATCCAATAATGTAACCAATGAGATAATGACACCTTTCTCTCTGGATAAAATGCAAAGAACTTTGTTACAGCTGCGCCATTTGTGGACAAGGATATTCCTCGTGCTATATCTTTATGAGTTGCTCCCGCTACCGATCGACTGACGAGGTATCTCGGTAACGGCACACCCAATTCTCTCAACCTTGTATTTACACCTTTTACTAATACTTCCAAGGAAAATGATGCATTTAAGGCCAGCTAAAAACAGATGATACACGCGTGAACAAATGTGATCGAATTATTGTATAGAAATTTACATGGTTTATATAATTTCTGCATATATCTGCATCGATATGTACCAAAGCATTAATTGCAGATGTAGCACCACAGGCAGAGGTACCAATTTGTGTTACTTGTTTCATTGTAGCTTCTTGTTCACTCCACAACATTACTTTTTCAACTGGTGGTAGTCCATCCAATCGTTCATTACACAGTTCGTTTTCCTATATTTAATCATTGTTTAAAATTTAACATGTATTGTTTGATTTAATCATAAAATTTATTTTTTTATAATATATAAATATTTACCAGATTGGAATCGCCACTTTGATTAAATGCAGCTTGTTTATTGAGCATTAGTTTCTTAGCCATCATTCTATGGTAAAGTGTAGAACTAAGATTAACTTTTCTGGCGTTCAAAGTGGAATTGTCCGGAACAGACGTTGACGAAGGCTCGACCCATAATTCAGAATCCGAATCTCTATTATCACCAGGTGATATAAGGTCACCACTCGTGTTATGATAACCATAAGATTCGCGTAATGGACAACCCGTATTACGATAGAGTGACGCACTATCCCATCTTCCTGTAAATTAAATATATGTGTGAAATGTATAATACAATTATAATATAGATTTGAGAATAAAATAATAATCATGAAATCATACCAGTTCCAGAACTAGTACTAGGCATCCATGGAGCGGAATAAGTTGGTTTCGCACTCTGTTCTATTATGGATTGATTACTTGCACATTGTTGAAAATTCGTATGATTAACATTTTGTGTACTTTGTTTCGAAGTTTGTGGCATAGACAGCAAGCTTTGTCTAGACACAACTTTTCCACTGCTTAGATCGTTTAATATAGGATCTGATTCTATATTATCTAATGCTATGTTCTGTATGTCTTCATTTATAGAGGCCAAATCGCTATCTCCAGTATCCTGTAAAAAAGGAAGAAATGTTATTCTGACTAAATCTTATACTATAGCGAATAACTTACCTGTTCACAAGAAGGTCCAGGATCAAAATCCATTTCCAGAAAATCCATCTCCGGACTCGATCTACCACTGTGATTCTGTCCCTCTCCTTCGTGATTTTCTACATGACCCTGATGTAATTCTTCCTGTTGATTTAAATGGATTACATCGTCATTCCCCTTATAAGTATAAATACAATAGTCTTCTCCATCAGACATGTCCCCCTCGTTTCCAGAACTAGAATCCATTCGTTCCATCTGTTCTCTCTGTGAAGCCTAAAAATATAAAAAATTTTCATTCTAGGCATACAATATAAACCTTGATTATACAATCCACGATAAAAGCTTACTCTCTGTATTCCACTGGGTCCAGCAACTTCTCTGCTGCCATTGATATTAGGTCTTAAAAAACAACAAGTTCCTTGACTCGTTGAACCTATACTACCACCTATATTATTCAATATACGTTTAGATCCATAGGACTTTGATGTCCAAGAACAGTCAGCCTCTGGACTAGAGTCTGAACTGCAAGAAACTTTAGAAGGACATTTCTCTATGGCAGATACATAATCCACATTGTTTTTCATGTCTATGTCATCATTTGGTTTACTCGTTGATAAATTAGGAGGCATTAATGGTGCATTTAACATAGGTACACTTGAATATAACATAGCACTGGTGGTTGCAGTAGAATTAAGAACAGTCGATGCCAAATTATGATTAACATGTGTATTCATTTGAGTGGAAGATAGATTCAAATGCATTTGAGACTTAGGCAAATTCAATGCGCTTGCATTCGTGACAGTCTTAAGCTTCAATTGACAATTGACAGCATTGGTGTTTGTAGTTTGAGGCTTGATGTTGGTGGTGCTCGTAAACATAGAAGATACGTTCACATTTGACATGTCTTGAGAAACATTCTGTTCCAAGGAATTGGCACAATCAGACATAGGAGCTTGCACAGACTTTGTTCCATTGGAAAACATGACGGATGTTTTGACAGATGGTAATACAAGCTTGATGTCATTGCTGTTATTATTTAACCTTAACTCTTCTACAGCAGTTCTATTCTCCAGCTGTACTTTAGACATCATAGCACCCTGGTCCACTGATTGATTATCATTCTTTAAACTGACTCCATCCACTTTGACCTCTGCTTTACCCTGATTATTTCCATCGTTCTCCTCTGAATTCATATTATTCTCGACGATGAGACTAGCGGCAATTGCATTACACAGCATCCTACAAACAAAAACACAATCGTGAGGATATTGTCAAAAAGTATTTTTTTGTCCCGACGAAGGAAATCTATTATTTTTCTTATCGATTATATGTTAGTGGTCGTAAAATCGCGCTTACCATGTGGCGCGATACAAAATTACCCGCTAAAAATCGAGTAACAGTGACGACAGAAACTCTGCGATGTTTTTTTCGAAATTGCGAAGCTTGGGAAAAAAATACGCCTCAGCTGCGTGGTTAGGCGGAGATTTACATCACTTTCTTCCGGCCGTAACTAGGCTAAACAGAGGGAAAAAGCGCATCACTTGCGCGAATTTCGCAAAAGAGTGATATATTTCTCTTTTCCGAGAAAAAAAAACACTTCCCGTCAAACAAAGCTATCGAAACACCTTGCTAACATTCTAATGTCTTGTATTAGTACCGGAAGTCAGCTGATTGTCGGAAACGAGCATGCACGCGAAACTTCACTCTATCGGTTATTTTTTTTTTCTTTCTCATCTCTTATTCACTCGCCTATTTACTTTTCATTTTCTTGTCCCGTTTTATTTATTTTTTCTTTTTTTTACGTAACTTTTTAGAACAATGATTATTCGTAAATTCACGAGTAAATTCCGTCGTGATAGATCAAAGTAAAAATATGTCGATGTTTATTCCATCATAATGTTTGTTATATACATATATATATATAGATTTCTTTATACATTCGGCATTATTAATATTACTGTACCACACTGTGATTAAAAAAATTTGAAGACTTTATACGAAAAATCTCGGACAAAAATAATAAAGTCAAATACATGTACATAGAATGAACGAGATAACGAATCTAATTGGTTGCACCATGTTGTTCCTCCCATTAGGACACGTTCATACTTACGTATACGTATGATTTACTTTACATCAGCGTTCATAGATAATCCTATGCGGAGCATAACACGAAAAATAGTAAAAAGTAAGGCAATTGTATTCCGTCGCGATGAGAGAGATGACTTCGAAATATTCTCGTCCTGCCAAATGTCGTCGATGACAGCTGATGACGCCAAGTGTACGTATGCTCGGTGCTATCGCATCTCTTGATTTCGTGTATTTATGTATACGAATAAACTCGGGAATTGAGATGCATACGCGGCGAGTTTTCGACGAAGAGTAATACTAGTACCTGGTGAAGCGAATCCTCGCGCAGGGATGAACGTCGTCCGGATCAATTCGAGGAACGTGATTTTCCTCTTTATAACGCTTCTGTCAACCTCCGCCGAAAACACGCACTCGGGTCATGGTGAGTGATACCTGTCAGTCATTGATATAAAATGACAATTTATGTGAATTTGAATAAAATTTAGGTGGTATAAATGCAAAAATTGTTATCAGAGATATAGCGAATATATTAATATATTAGTGCACTGAAATATATGATACTTTTTCATACATGTATTAATATTTGCCATGTTAATTGTTGCAGACACCCTGAGCACCTATGCTGCAAAAGAAGCTAATGTAAATACTACACCAGCTTACAGCAGTAAAAAGGTGAGTTTTTATATATAATTTCAATTGAATAATTTTGTACAGTGACAAATATGAATCGGATTGTTAAATTGCAGGAGGAAATTACTGGTATGTGTGGTCCAAGTGGAATATCTTGTACTGAATTGAGCGGAGAATGTCTGAAGTGCAATTTAAATTACAGTTGTGTGTATGGTGCTATCTATTTTGTACAATGTTCTGTTATGGAACATGTTGATTGCATAGTAAGTAAAATTTGTTATTAGTATATCAGTTTAAAATCATATAATATATATATATATATATATATATATATATATATATATAACTGGTTTATATATTATAATTAAATGCTTTATTTCTTAATAGGGCCGTAGGTCTTTTGAAAAGACATACATATGTCGTTATTGTTATCAAACTGATCACTGGGAACATCAGTGCCATCAAAAAAATTCTTGCAGTTCAGTAGCATCTCCACAGCAGTATTATAGGTTTGTACTAATCAGTTTCATTATTCATATATTGATTACAATAATACTAACAGATAACATTTTTGTTTTAGAACAAATTGTACAGTAAATAATGACATACTATGTCTGGGCAGACGAAAGTTTATGAAAAACTTGCCTTGCAACTGGACAGTTGGATATCGATGGTCTACAGCTCTGATATTGAGTATTACTCTTGGAGGATTTGGTGCTGATAGGTATATTAATCTTGCAAAAGAGTATTATCTAAAATATAGATAATTGATTAAATATAATTTATTAATAAAATATTTATTAAATGTCGCAGATTTTATTTGGGACACTGGCAAGAAGGCATTGGCAAGCTTTTCAGCTTTGGTGGACTAGGTGTATGGACCTTAATCGATGTAATATTAATTTCTATGAGATATTTAGGTCCTGCTGATGGTTCTTTGTACATTTAAATTGTTTATGGATGTTGTTAATTAATAAAGAAAGTTTACTTTTAATTTTATTATAATTTATTGCAATTCTTATATAAGATGTCTTATAAAGTACAGAAATATGTTACATCTATTGATTGTAAATGATAAAAGTTAATATGATATATTTGTATAAAAATAAAATTTATATTTATTTTGCCATAATATAATTATACAAAATAGAGTAACATTGTTCTCACAATTTCTGTAAGTTTTTTTTAAAAAAGGAAGAAAGAAAGAAAAATGTAAAATTTATAGGTTTTGTAAAAATATACATAAAAAATGTGATCTGTTCTATATAAATTCAAAGTGTAATAGAAGTCAGTTAATAAATATATGCTTGTAATTATATATAATTTAAAAAGATTAATTTATTATGTATAAAAAAGATAATTATTTCTAGAAAATGTTATCAATTTATTATTTGTATATTTTTTTATTTTATTGTATAGTTATTGCTATTCACAAACAATGTAAAGAAAAGGAATAAGAGCAAAGTATTTTTTTTAACAGATTTAATTTCATATAACATTAAAATATGAATAAATACAAAGATCACACACATAATGAAATGTTCTTATACTACTAAATATTTATCAATATAGATAAAATTATAATAATATTGTTAAAAATAAAATTATCATATAACATGTGTCATATGGATCATATAAAATAAAATATGCTACCAGGGATTGTGTAATAAATATTTGATTAATGATGTACATATGTAAAAATGTAAATGTGCAGAGATGCAGGATGCAGGCGCAGGCATATTTCTTACATCTGTGTAGTATACACACTACATATGTAGACAAATATGCCGGTTAAGTGACAACGTTGAGAAATATATTAATATTACATAGAAGCAATGCACAAAATCGCTAATTATTTATCACGAGACAAGTAAAGTTTGTTCTTTACAGAGAGAACAAATTAATTAATTAACATACAGCAAACTTTAACACATATCGTGAATCTGTACATAACCTATGCTGTTTATGAAATACATTGAAGAAGCTTACAGAAGAATTTATGAGAATATATTAAAAGCTATATATTTGTTCCAAATAAATCTATAATACAATATAATGAAATTTTTGACAAGTGTATTTGGTATTTAATCAATCTTAGTGAAGCTTTGCTCGGTCAAGATGCCTACAGTTATAGCATTAGACGTGTCCTTGTCGATGAGAAGACCTGTATTAACAAACGGGACGAATGATAATTTGCAAAATGAGCCATTGACTCGACACCATTTAGCGGTGCATGGTATAAACGCTTTGTTGCATTACTTGCAAGTTAATTCGAAGCTGGAATTTGTGTCATTGGTAAAAACAGAATGATATAATATATTGAGATGAAATTTTTTCAGGTGCAAGAAAGCATATTAATATATTTGTAAATGCATTACAACTTTCAGATTGTATTTTCATCATTGTATGAAGTGGTTTGTCCTTTTACACGTGACTATGACAGCATACGTTCAAAGCTACAAACTATCGAGGAATGGGACAAGACATGTATCGAAGGTGCGCTGCATGGTGTCAACAATGTAATTATGGCAGAATGGGGCAATGCTACTGCTTGCCAAGTGATTCTAATTACAGATGGCAATCCTGGCATAGGACTAATGTCCCTGGGCGACTCTTTGAATACTTTAAATGTTACACGAGATATGAATCCCTTTCCATTACCTTTTCCATATCCAGGAAAATTAAGTATAGTGTGCATTGGATCGCAACAGGGTAGGTAAAAAGTTGACATATGTATTTTTTTATATATTTTACATATTTGAAGATATTACTCGATTATATCTCAGTTATTTACTCATTCTATATTTTTAGATCCTAGTTTACAAGCTGGTTTACCTCTCTATCAACGTTTAGTTGATTTAGCTGGTGGTGACAGTATTGTTCTGGTTCCAGAATCACCACTTAGTAAATATTCTGTTGCTGCTTGTTTCCAGAAACTGGCTGAAGCAAATTATGTTTCCTTTCAAGGATATTTAAAGTATGGCCATTTAGGCTCTCGTATCTTATTATCACCAGCTCCTATGGTAATAACAAGTATTACACATAAGAAAGTATATAAATTATCATATTATAAACAATTCATCATGAACAATTATATAATCATTGTTATACATGTTTTAGCCTTATACAAAGAAGACAGATTTTGAATTAGTTCCTGGTCTAGTAATATCAAAAACTATAGAAATATGTGGCTTTATATCTGTAGGGGATGTCGGTAGTCCAAGTTCTATTTCTAGACATTTGGTATTACCATTGGCAACAGAAAAAACTTCAAATATGCAAGGTATATCGTTAGAAGAAGATTCAGATACTGATGAAAATGGAGACGAAGGAAAAATGCCATCTTTTTGTGTATTGCTTCATGGAGCATTGAAGGTAATAAATCTTTATTACTTTATTACAATGATTTTTTGTATTGCAGTTGTAAACTAATAAAATTAATATATATTGTAGGTAGAGAATATGGCCGCCCTCTGTTTATTGAACAATGAATGGTATGGATTTATATATTCTTGGGCAGACACTAAGAAGAAGTCTAACTTAATGTTAACAGTATTAGAACCAGGATCCGATGTTGTACCATGGTTAGGTAATTTCAACAATTTAGGCCCATTAGATACAGCTAAAGATTCTCCAGTCAGTTTTCCAGTGAGACCAGCTGAAAAAAGAAGTTATACACAAAATGCTCCTTCGTGGATACGCCAGGTCGGCTTACAATCTGATATTCAGAAAATATTAAGACACGCGAGAAAATTACCAGAGAAGACACAAAATTTTTATAAGGTAAATACTAAATTATAAAGATGATATTTTGTATGATTTTGAAATAATTATTTATATGATCACACAGGAGGTAAACAGATTACGGCGTGCAGCAGCATCAATAGGTTTTATTGAATTATTAGAAGGATTAGCTTGTATTTTAGAGCGAGAATGCACATTGTTACCGCCAAATCTGAATCCAGATTGTACAATTCAAATGGGACATGTTGCATTAATGATCAGAAAACCAGAATTCCTTGAACTCAGATATAATATTCCACCTGCACGGACAAAATTTCAATCTGGATCATGAGTTGAAATATACAACTGGTGTGTTATTATATTTAATTCGAACACATTAGACACATTTATATAACAAAAAAATAAAATTTTATTTATTTTAATTTTAAATTATTCCCTATATAATATATAACATATTGTCACATTTTTATTTTACTTCTGTTAGTTTTTTTTCATTTGATCTATATCATACATAGATAAGAAAATATATAAGTCACAAGTATGTTTTTATAAAATTTTAGTTTTGTTACACATAATAATTATTGACATTAAAAATACTTAACAATAAGATTATTAGCTATATTTTCAATTTCTTATTAAATAACATAAAATATCATATAAGCCTTTAGCAGTTTGTATACTGGAATACTTGTCAAAATCTGGAACATGTACAAATAGTGTCTTTGACGATTCAATAGCGAGAGATTGATAAAATATATATTCGCACAGATATCTGCCAGCATTATCTGAGAGGCAAGCTCTACATTTATGTTTCTTATAATTTTTATTCACATGACTGCAAAGTTCTTTGGTATCTATACGAGTTTCCAAGACATTACACTCAATGTTTGTTTCATCAGGACACATTTTGTTTATGTCAGATCTATTATAACCATTGCTGCAAGCCTGACATTCAATCATTAAAGCTTCAGCTTTGTGTGATACACCTACATGTAGGACAATCTGGAACGATGAAAATTGAGAGAAATATAAAATTATAATTCATATAAGTATCAGAAGAATCATATATAAAATACACTGCTTACTGTAGGATTGTATTTCTTCCAAAGTTGAGGAATCTGAATGGATACATCACTGTATGATACTGGAATATTTTTGATAATTAATTTTACGTCAGAATACTCTTTAGAATCTATCCATAGTTTTTGCAATTGCTTCACCGCTTCCCAACTGGCATTCACCACATGTTGGCCAAAGGGCCAAAACCGGTAACTAAAATTGTACACTCAGAATCGACGCTCATTTTGCGAATGAAATTCGAATCTCGTGAGTGCTACTAATTAACTCGACGAGATTTAACTTAATTGAGAGATATGATGCTTGGAAATTAATTTTATCAGTTTATCAAGCTTGTGTTATCGCAAGACTGATATATGATGGCAAATACATGTGTGAATGATTTATTAATTTAAGAACATTTAGAACGAGTCTCAACTTTGAGGAATAACTGATGAAAACTTTGATAATTAACGTAATTAAGCAAATTTGGGGAAAATATAAAGGGAACCACGCATAAGATACGCGTTAAACGGTATCAAATTTAGTCACATCATAACCTATAATAAAATGTAAATATTAAAATATAATATATCCCTTAATTCCATCTCCGCATATATATTTGTTATAGCGATTAAAATTTGAAAAAGATCGAGGGAAAAGAAAAAATGTATTATTGTATATGTGAAAGTATATTTCATTAGGCAAAAATGTAACCAAAACAATGCATTAACATTAAATTATCGCAATTATATTTCAATGTTTCGAAATTGCCGCCATTGCGATACCGCGATACTTCGATACTTCGAGAATCGCAATATCGAATCGCGGTCGATCGTAAAACATAACGGATTCGCAGAGTGCAGAGTCAAATCGTGCTCCACACAATTCTCACAATTATTGTGTTAAAATTAATTTCCTCGTTTCGAAAAATTATCGAGAATATCTTATTAAGTACTTGAACAAAATGTGAGTATTGTGTACATTTATTATTACGCGTCAACATTATCCTTTGTGATATCGACATATTTGCTTCTGTGTTTCAGGAATATGGATCGTGCAATCGTCTCCTTACATTTCAAATGATTCTCTTTCGAAGGAAAACACAATATATTAAGAAGTAAAATTTTAATGAGAATTGTCAAGTACGTATATTTATTTTCATATTATTTTATCAATTTAATTACGTTTTTTTTTTTTTTTTTTTTTTTAAATATAAAATTCACTGTAAAAATATATGTGTACATACACACATACATAACGTGACTTAAATATACTTACACACACATATATATATATATATATATATATATACATATGTATGTGTGTAGTTTATCATGATAAACTCCACATACATTTTTGATAGGATTACGGATTTTTGATAGTGAGATTTAATTTTGCTTATATACCAGTTAAAATTTTTATTTATATAGACAGAGTAAATACAATAATAGCAAAAATGGACAATATATATATGCATATAACAATTTGAATAAACATTTTTTATATAGAATATTATTTTATAGTTTTTTTTTTCAATTTTGTTAATATATAATAGAATTTTATATAATATAGTATAAAATATATAAAAGTTATATTTTTCTGACAAATAAACTTTAAAATAAAATATATTTATATATGTAATTGTATGCAATATATCATATATGTTAGAAAAATATTCATATATCATTTCTTTGTTTAGAATTATCGCGTATTATAGGCTATTTTAAGATCTGTAAAATATTTTGATTATAATGCCACAGAACATAATGACAAAGAACGTATAAATTCTTATGAGAAATATTCTCAATATACATATATTGAGAATTATATCATCAAACATATGCAATAGTATGATTCTGTTAAGTACTTTGTCATATTACTTTGTTACTATTTCATATAAGACATTTATAATACATAGGAACGTTTATAATGTAAATTATTTTATAGAAAATTATTAAACTAAAAATACCTATGCCATGTGATATATATAACGCAAAATTTCTTCATAAAAATATAATTTCTGTATAAAAATGAGTTAATACTTTCTTTAAAATACAAATAAACTATATTACTGTTAGATTTGTTAAAATCGAAAAAAAAGAAAAGAAAATATAATATAATATACTATACGTAATTGTAAAATGATGGACGACAAATGCAATGAAACAAGTTTCATAAATGAAACTTGTTCATGTGATGGAAAATATTTTATGATATTAATGCTAATAAGCATTTTTTGTAATGTCCTGAACAGTCACCCTGAAAAAACCATAAAAGCAAAATTAGATCTCAAATATAAATGTATTAATATATAATATTGTGATATTTTAACATAACTCACAGATATAAAATCTTCCAATGATTCCCCATGTTCTTGGACGAACACATTTTTTATTTCACCCATATCTATTTCACAGCGCGTTACAACTAGACGTATAAGACGGCTATCGTCTGTACCAAGGCCTTTCATGCTTTTGTACAATTGTTCAGCGAAGAAACTGGCTCTATTTTTGACGCATTTCACTGTTTAAATAATATTTATTTTAATTAGTTCAGGAAATATTAATTTTCTTATATATTATATTCATAATTCATAATATACACTAACCAATTGCAAGGAGACCCTTCTTAATATCGCCAGAAAATTCATTTTCAATCGCAGTCTCGATATCATGGCCTGTTATGTTATGATATTCTATAAATACCTGTCGCAATTGTGGCATATTCCTTTGGACGAGAATCGCGTTAAAAGTAGATTCATCCGTACCAAAACGCAACTCCCCTGTAATATTAATTATATATTTTTTTATGCAACATTAAAATAAAAAAATAGAATATCAGCGGATATACTTAAATATCCTGCATTAATTACCAGCTTGTAAAAGTTGTTTAGCATCTTCCATTGCAGCAGCATGATTTATATTATTTGATTCATCTCTATTGGCACAACACAATGATACCATCAAACGTTTAAAATTTCCAGATGTATCAGAAATCAAATCATCCTCCAATGTTCTTCCATACACTATAATTATTAAATAATGCAATAAATAAACACAAATTAATTATTATTTTATAATTTTCATATCTTTTTCATTAACTTACTTGCTTCGTACGCTTGTTTAATGATGGAAATTTCATGATTAGACATAGTACACAATACTTCAATGAGTACTGCCTCGTCAGTACCAAGACCAGACATTGCATCATGGAGTTCTTTTGCATAATATTGAGGTAGTGGTGTCATTAGAGCGAGAACAAGTTTCTCAAAGTTTCCTGATAGCTCAGATTTTAAATCCTTTATTAGATCCTATTAATAAAAATGTAATAATAGTATTATATAGTATTATGCTTCAATTTTGCAGAACAATTTTTCCAATTATTTACCTTGCCATAAAGAGTTTTAAATTGAGATGCAATTTCTTGGCGTTGCAAGTTATTACGATTGGCAAGAACTTGAATAATACCTTTTTCATCTGTGCCAAATCCCTTCATAGCTTTTCTTAAAGCTTCTGCGTCAGCTCTAGCATCAAAGCTAGCATAAGGTATAACAGTGGGAGATGTCTGTAACAAAATCATGAACAAAATTTAACAAATTTAGAATAATTTACAAAATTCAAGCGCTTTTTTGACAACACTAATAACATTTGGACAAAACAATGTTAAATATCACACTTATAACTTTCTCAAAAATCTTAAGCTATTGTTAAAATCACCTTAGGCGTAAATCGCTCTATCCGGGGGGCTGGGGTAGCACCATGTGCAGCAGTAGATGGATTAACAGCATAAGGATAGCTTACCCCCTGCCCCCTGGGATAGCTTCCGCCTTGATATGGGATTGAATTAGTTGCATTAGGTTCAGAATAAGAGAAAGGAACCATATTGCTAAAATATTCTTTAGCATCTGGTGCTTTTTTAAGATTAGGATACGTATTGTAATTTTGCTGCTGTGAATAAGGATTAGGCTGCTGTGGATGAGGATTAGACTGCTGTAGATAAGGCTTAGGCTGCTGTGGATAAGGATTAGGCTGCTGTGGATAAGATTAGACTGCTGTGGATAAGAATTAGGCTGCTGTGGATAAGAATTAGGCTGCTGTGGATAAGAATTAGGCTGCTGTGGATAAGGATTAGGCTGTTGTGGATAAGGATTAGGTTGCTGTGGATAAGGATTAGGTTGCTGTGGTATAGGATGACTAGCATTTGAATTAGATGAATAATAAGGTGTGGGCACAGATTGAGGAGGATATGGCATTTGCTGTGCAGGATAAGGAGCTATCCCGGTGCTACCAGGAGCTGTCTGAGAATATGGTTGAGGCATGCCAAAAGATGTCGGTGGTGCATTTGAGAAGCCCAAACTTGGAGGATAAGACAGAGCATCAGGGGCAGAAGGTGCACCAGACAGAGTCCCAAATGATGTTGGTGGATGGGTTCGTCCCGGTAATTGAACAGGTGGTCCCTTCGATATATTAAGGTATAGATAAAGAAACAAATTTATCACTTTTATATACAAGCTTTTCAATATTTATCTACTTTCTTCAATTAAAACGTTTATTTCTTTTCAATAATAGAAAATTGGTTATAATTGTGTGTAATACGTAGTAAATATTTCTTTTTCTTTTAAGATAAAATTAATACAATTTAAAAATAAACTTTTTAATTTGAATAATAAGTTAAATATACTCACTTGGTAACCATAACTCATTTTGCCTGTTTAAGATTTAAACTGCTGTGATTGAAGAACCTACACATAAAAAACACAAAATTACAAACTTTCTCCAGCTATACATTGCCTCATAGAACCTGTTTTATAGTAATCTATTAACACCATGACATATGCAATTTAGCAACAGACCAATGCATATTTTAGAATATAATATACAGAAAGCATACTATATGAATGGAACAATGAAATTATCGCGATGTATTTTAAAGTATATTGCAATCATTATTTATTCACATAAGCTGCCACGTGTCTATCACATATGTCACGAATTGATGCACCTCGAGGAGAAAATTAGAATGGATGATCGGTTACGCCCAATATACAGAAAATATGTCGTATACTCTCGTTACAAAAGACGTCAATAAACAATATGTCACGTGAATCTTATTCATCAGCACTCTATACTTACCTCCAAGTTTTCCACCGAATTCCGTATTACTAATTACAAATTTCTATTTGTATGACGTAGGATATCGAAGAAGTGCCGAAACTGAATGCTACAATAATACGAGGCAACTGGTGCCGACCTGACGATTCGTAGTGAAGATAAACTAGTAGAAGGTCGACGAGGCAACAAGGACGACTGCGTATAATGAGAAGGAGATATAAGTAACTTATTCTCTCTCTCTCACACAATCAGCCTCTGCGCCGATTCACGTCACAAAGAATCCCGGGAAAAACGTATGCTACGTCAGATGAAGGGAGGGAGACCAATGCCGGACTGTGATGTGGCGCTTTAAAAAGTAATTGTAATTATAATTATATGATGAAAAATCATAATGTACACAATACGCAGAGAATTTCACTTTGATGACGGAGGCTTTTATACAATAATCAATGCCAAATATTTTTGACACCTCTATGCAAATAATCGTTAAAAATAACATAATCACCGTTAAAGATATATAACATGTAAATTCAACAGAATTTGTTTAATAAATTGATAACGTTATCTGTTTTTCCAAAAATTATTAACGCATGTGTTGATGAGACATATTGCAGCTTTATTAGCTTTTAAAGTAGTCAATATATATCTTTAATGATAACTTTATATATATATATATATATATATATATATATATATATATATATCACATATATATATATATATATATATATATATATATATATATATACATATGTTTTGATTATACTAGATTAACTAGATAACATAAACGAGCGCTTTGCACGCGCTAAACAAACTTTTACTCCGCGAGTGTACATAATTATTTTAATTCGTCGAATTTTAATTATATACATATATAACTAAATTCCCGAAATTCTATTATACATATATACATAATTTTAATTCGCCGAATTTTTATTTTTCCAAATTTTAGGACCCATGTACGAATCATATACGTTAGGTGTTAAGATACATCATATTTCAATATTTTTTATTATCAATCTGAGGACTATTTCAAGGATGTATTCCCATGTTTTGAAGCCCGCTTTTTCATTTTTTAATTAGTTTCAGTGATTTAAAGCAATAATTAATTTTTCCAAAGTTTAGAACCCAATGTACATTATTAAAAATTAATTGTATTAAATAAAGATTTATAAAATCATTTAACTATATTTCTGTTTGATACTGTACGGAAAATAAAATCCAATGTGTACAGTAATGTTCTAAAATATTAATTATTTTTAACGCTGTTATTTCAATATTATTTGTATGTTACAGATTAACGTAATTGACGATTTATGAAGATTGGATATTTGAGACATTGCGGACATCGACGGAATAACCATAAGGTGAATGTTTATTATTAGTGGTTTACTAGCTCATTATTATTAAATAAAAATTTATATAATTATTTTATAATTTTTCCGTTTATTATACGCATGGAAAATAAAATCCAATGCGTTTATTGTACGCATGGAAAATAAAATCCAGTGCGTACAGTAATAATTTTTTAATATATTAATTATTTTATGCGCTGCTATAATTTGAATTTTATTTATATGTTACAGATCAATGTAGCTGCAGATCAACGCAGTTCATTTCGCTGTTTGCGCATCGACTGATGAGTGAAAATTCATTTTATTTTATTAAGGTAGCGGTTTTGTAGAGATTATAGATTGTGTAGATCTAGATAGTAGATTTTGTAGAATGTAGATAGTTCCGCTACCTTAAAATGAATGAATTACAAAAATTAAGATTATGATAAAGATATTATCAATATTACAGTAAAAAAAAGAAGAATCTTTTTTTTATAGTACACATAATATTTAATCTAATTCATTAAAAAAAACACTAACAATTATATTATTATTATATGTATGATAAATTGTAAATTGATAAAATAATTATAATTATAATTATTTATTATTATAGTGTATAGATTTTATGTTATATAATATTTTATAATCCATATAATATTTTGTAATCCATTCATTTATGTTGATTAAATTTGAATTTACGTAGTTAAAACAAAGTTATATTTAAAATAGACTCTCAAATTTTGCGGATATATTTTATCTCAAAATTAAACAAAAAAATAATAGTGACAAAATTTGTAGAAAAATTTACGCGATAATAATTTGAAATTTTTAATATGAATTATACATACATGTTACTTTATTTTATTTTTAATTTTTGTTATTCATTAGTTATGCACTGTCGCGTAATTACAAAATAAACACAAGTTGTGTTAATTGCAAACCGCGAACAGATTAAAATTGATTATTAAATTTTTGTCGATCCATAGTAAAGAACAAAATTGTTTTCATATAATATTAATTAACATTAATATTAATATTAATAATTTTCATTAAAAGCGGGATATATATATTTTCGATTCTATATAAAATACTATTATTTAGAATATTAATTAGTAAATAGCAGTAATTGCTAATAAAGCACACACAGTGTGCTTGATACCGCCATAAAATTGTGCGAATTAATAGAGACTGCACAAGAAAACACAATCGAATGGCGCGTTTAAGTCCAGGAGTATAACGTGCAAAGTGTCGCACGTTCAAGTTCGGAAGTGTCGTGCAAAGTTCGCGCGTTTAAGTGCGGGAATGTCGTATATAGTATCGCGCGTTTAAATCAACAGACTAACATTTATCGAATAATCCTAATCAACTTGACCTGAGAGGAGGAGCAGGCCTGGGAGGCATCAGGCGCCGGTGGAGCAACTCTGCGGTGAGTATTTATTATTTATATAATATTTATATAATATTATATATATGTATAATATTTTACTTATTATAAATCACGTATTTTTTACACATATATATATTAATTCTATTTATATATATATATATAAATAATTTAAATTTAAAAAAATTAGAAAGAAATACTTTGTATAAATATTATAAAAATTGATATATTTTAAAAATATGTATTTTTTACAAAATTTGTAAAATTATTCAATTATCTTTACTGATTATTGTATGCATCGAATATAAAATTTAATGTTTAAAATACTAATTTTTAGAGATATTAATTATTTAAAGCACTGCTATAATTTATATTTTATTTGTATGTTACAGATCAACGTATAGCAGTCAACTTCTGTTGCATCGATTGGCAAGTAAAAAATTATTATTTTATTACGAGGTAACGATTTTATAAATATTTGATTGTAGAGATGTAGATTTAGAATGTAGATTGTAAACTGTAGATTTTGTAGACTGTAGATTGTCCGTTACCTCAAAATGAATGAATAACATAATTAGGATGAATATTTTAATTTAAAAAAAGCTAATTTATAATATAACGTATAGACAAAATTAAATTTTATCTTATTCAATTTAATTCATTTTTATAAAGAACAATTAATTGTAAATGTGTTGAAATTATAAATTAATTGTATAATTATAATAATTTATTCTTTTAATATCAATTTTATTTTAATTTTTTGTATAAATAGTTTATTCATTTATATTGATTATTTGGTATTGTGTTAATAATGTTTTTCTATTGTATGTCCATGTCCATCTATTTAATATTTTTTATATATTCACATAATCGTTATTATATTCAATATATATCGTTAAACAATTGAACTTTTATTAAGGTTTGTTACGATAATATCATTTATTCTTTTTCTCTAACTTCTATTCTCTTATTTCATATAAACGTGTTATATCTACAATACGCGAAATACAATTTACTCATAAATTAAATTAGTGCAAATTACATATATATCAACATTTTTTATGACAAAAAATTTAATTTCTAGCCTACATAATTTATTTGTTGATATTTTAGACGTATGCGTTAAAATGTTAGATGTACTAGATAACATAAACGCGCGCTTTGCGCGCGCTAAACAAATTAACTTTTTCTCCGCGAGTGTACATATAATTTTAATTCGTCGAATTTCAATTATGTACATAACTTTAATTTTCAAATTTCTATTATATACATAATTTTAATTCGCCTAATTTCTATTATGCACATTATTTTAATTCGTCATATAATCTAAGTTTATATTATATTGCCAATATTTTAACTTAAAAAAAGTTAATACTGAGAAATTAATATCGAAATTAATTAGAAATAGATATCGCGGAATACTTATCGATTTAAAAGAAAAGTTAATGAATTATGAGGAAACAGATAAATGTATTTGATAGGATTTTCGAGAAAAAATGAGGCGTGAGCAATCTTCAAAATAATTTATTAAAAATGTCGCATATTCGATATACCTCGAGTATAGGTAATCGGTAATGGTACAATTAGTAACTATATGCATGTCGCGTGAGCATGTTTTCGGGAGGATCAATTAAGATTTACGTCTGGCAGGTGATCGATCGTTATTGTTCTTATTTTACTGTGTGTGGAATAATTAACGGTATATATAATGATATCGCCAGTCATTGAAGTGTCACGTGACACGAAATCGCGCGACGATCGATTCAAACACGTCGTCTGTTATGAAATGCAAATGCATTTTCGTCAGCAAATCGTCTAATGCAAGAGTTGCATTCTAATGACGTCATATGACGCATTCACTTCCGAGAGATACGGCTAGTTCATCCGTGAATAAATCATGACACATCCATGATTCATGCGCGGATCATTGCCTTATTGTGTGTCGATTAATTGCGCAATGGATTTGATACTTGCGTTCCGACACAAATAAATTACTTGTTCGCGAAGAAAAAATTTCAAGGAATAAATGGAAAATAAATCCTATGAAATTATATCTCGACAATTTGATATTTTAATCCAACCATTTCTTATATTGCTTTAATCCAATCTTTGAAAGAGAGAGTTCTCTCTTTTTTAGTTCTTTGAAATTAAATATAAAATTATTATAATTATTAAAGAATATCTATTTTTTAAAATCTTAGCAATTAATGCATTGCAGTTAATATTTTATTTTAATTAACTACTATATATATATATATATATATATATATATATATATACACTGAAAAAAATTATTAACTTGACTAAACCGTTTAATTAAATTACTATTTTGTCAATTGAACATATATTAGTATTTAAGTCAAATATACGTTTTGTTAAATTTAATATGTTATATTTAATTTAAATATTTTTATATGTTCGATTAACAAAATATTATTTAGTGAAACGGTTTAGTCAAGTTAACAATTTTTTTCAGTGCAGTAGTTAATCTTAACTTCTTGAGACTTTAATTCATGTTTAAAGTCACGTTAAATTTAAATTGACATTTGTACACCGCGATTCGTGTCACTGTCTTCAAATAGAACAGTTACGAATAAATATGACGTGTGCGTTTATGCATCTTGTGGTAAGATCGCGTGCATGCGTGCGTGCGTGCGTGTATATATCTTTATGTTATTGTCAGATTTCTTGCTGACTTTACGCTCATTTATAATCTAATGACGACCGAAAATATAGTGACAATATATGCAAAGGCTTTCACGAAGCGGGGCTAATCACATAAGATTTTTTTTACAGTTAGCTTAAAAATTAGTCTTACTTTTCGCAGAAAATTTTTATTTAAACGCATTCGAAGAAGGCGAGTAAAAAAGCTCGAAAAATGTGCGCACGCGTGCACTATTTGAATTTATAAGATATATCAATAACGTATTATTTACATATTAACATATACAATATACTTATACCAAAACACGCATGATTTTTTTAAGCATTATTGTTTTTCAAATTATTTAATCGGTCGTGCATATCGCAAGAAAGCTTCGCTTGAAAAACTTTTTATATATAGGAAAAATCAGGATTATCCAGATCCCCGAATCGATGCATACGATTCGAGTGTCGATTAAAATTCCGCGTTTGATTACAGTTTGAGTTATTTCTCGGTTCAAGTGTTTAAAGAGGCGAATTTCGAGATACGATCATCGGATTTACAATCAGTCGAATGCGATGCAATCGGTGGCGAACGCAGGACAGATTTGATCTCTCGCGAGCAATCTCGCTTGGAGCACGATTGAATCGCGTTTTTTTATAAAGATTTTCGAAATGCTTTCGTTCGGAGCGGTGACCATGTCGCTGCAAAATACGAAGGCAGATCATTCGCATTATTTGTACATGTTATGAAACATAAACGACCAATGTTGACGATCGAAAGAAAAGTATTGAATATTAAATGATGATACGAAAATATAAAATAGATAAAATAAAAATTGAATTCGTAAAAGCAGTAACATAATTTATGTCGTTTGTGTTTGTAGCGTAATACACTGTAAAAAAATATATAATATATTACATAAAAATATGTAAAATTACATAAATAATAAATGTAAAATTATACGATAAATAATAAAAATGTATACATTTTACACTTATTATTTATGTAATTTTTACATATGTTTTAAAATGTAATCTTACATATTTTTTTACAATGTACATAAAGATATATCTTCGAGAATACACGCGATATTATTAAAAAAACAGAACCCATTCTTCGCAATATTTCCAATTGGATCTGAATTTTCTTCTGCCTTTACTTTTTTATAATATCCTTAAATCAACGGAGAGTCTTAATAAACTATTTCGCTATTAATGAAGCCATTTTCATAAAAAAAATCGTGATTGACAGCGCTTATCTGAGTACGCAAAACGGTTTTGATATCGCCCTGCTAATAACAGCAGTTAAAACGCAAATTTATATTTTTCATGGAAGAATAATGGTAAAACGAGGCGATTGTTTAACATTTATTACACGAATTATATCGCGAAGTACCAAG